TAGTTGAAGTTCAAATTGGTCCTTTCTCATTTTAAAAATGAATGTTTCCTCCCCCAGTTTTAAATTGTGGGGCGAAAATATTAAATGAGTTGATTTAAAAAGAAAAGTAATAATGTTATTCCTCTAATTTTAGAAGGTCTTGGTGTTTTGATAACAATATTCCCCACCTAGGCACTAAATCTATGCACTGCTTTCTTATTTGTCAGATTCATTTGACAGTGGTATAAATTCACAGTAAGCTGCATCATATATTTAATATTACTTAATAATGACAAGAAGTCTAATTTTTCTTTGCCTGATGGAAGTTGCTGGCATCTTTCCAAACAGGTTCTCTAATGATCTTGTTTCACCATGGCAACCAATATGGAGGTGCTGGCTCAGCAGATAGTGGAGACACAGCAGGTGGCTGAGGTGAGTGACAGTATCTGCCACACTTGCTTTTGAGTGGAAAAATATGCCTGTGTGTTTTGTTGTTTACAGTTGATCTGATGGGAAATAGAAGGTATTTATAGAACAGCAGTTCCCCACACATGTGATGACATGCAAGGCACCAAGCCAAAGTGCGGTTCAGTCACCATACTTCATTTTAGTAGACTCAACTGGAGATGTGCAAAAATAGGACACTTGCCTATGATCTGCATGTAAAATTGATTGATTGTTTTACAGCATTCATAATACAAAATAAAAGAGATAAAACAACGCTTTTGACCGGCACTTAATTAATATGCGTTTCTACATTTCACTTGATACATCGCTTAAATCTGGAGCCTTGGTTCAACTACTTAGTGAATGTGGAAAACTGGCAGGGATTTTAGTAGATTAGAACTCAGATTTGCCTCATGCCTGTAGCCATAAAAGCACAAAAACAACTTTAAGGTGATGTCAGTTAATGGCCTTACACATATCCACTAAAGCTGTAGAAGGTAAACATTGACCTTCTAGAGCAGGGGTGTCCAACCTTTTTGAATGTGGGGCCGGATCATGAACTTTTTATCACACAGTGGGCCGGCGAGCCGTGTTCAAAGACCTCACTGGAAGCAGTATCACATCACAGACACCCCCACCACACCCCCCAAAATGAAAGTACAGTGTTTACTTTCTTTTCCCATTGCAGCACCTTGGGCCTCAGAAAGCGGCTTGGTGGGCCGCACGTTGGACAAGCCTGTTCTAGAGCCAGTTCATCAGCATTGAAAATCAGTGTTATTGTGACAATAAAAGATAACCTTTGTGTTTTCTCCAGTTAGCAAATATGAGTGAAGTCCTTAGATATATAGAGCTTGGATTATTTTTTAATTTTACTTGGCTTAATTTCTTTCTACCGTCTGTCATATGATTAGGGGATTTTGTACGTGATGTGTACTCGGGAGTCTGCATTTTTCAACAGAAGGCTGCTTAAGCATATGGACAGTTTTGCCAAATTGCCACACAGCCTTGCCAACTTGCCAGGCCACTGATATTACTAGGGGTGCAAGATTTTCTTGGCCAGTACTGATAGCCAATTATTTACCAGCCATATTGCCCCAAGCTAATCTGCTAACTGATATTTAGTAATAAAGCTCATTGAATGAGTTTTAGTTCAAGTGCCCCCACCACCATTTCTAAGCATGGGGACGCTGATGCAGGAAACACAGCAGCACTTTAATTAGAGTGGCTCTTGGAGCAATTCTAAATAAAGCACCTTCCCCCTCCCAGAGGCTCCCTGCTGGGGGATAGATTGTGCTGCACACAGCAGCAGGTGCGGGAGCGGCTGCCTCAGCCCCTGCCCTTCAGGCTCAGGTCAGCTGCCTGAATCTGCAGACAGCTTTGTAGTTTCTGGGTACTTTAACTAGAGTGGCTCTTGGAGCCTCTAATTAAAGCACCACCCCTCCCCCACTACTGGGCAGAGCACATGCAAGAGTACTCCATGCTACTTGCAGGCCCTCCTCTTCAGGCTCAGGCACTGGCAGTACTGGGGGTGGGGTAGGTTAGGAGGGCTATGGCCACCCCAAAATTCGCCTTAGCGCCCCCTCACCTGTAGCCGCCTTTCCCAGCATCACCACTGCCCACCCCTGCTGAGTCTACCAGCCAACCCTGTGCAGGTGACCACACAAAAGTGTGGCACTCCTGGCAGGGGCAGGAGTGAGGCGGGCAGCAACAGTGCTGGGAGGGTTGGCTACAGAGGGCTAAGGTGAATTTTAGGGAGGCCATAGCCCCCCTCAAACACCCCGACCCAAGCCCCCTTCCACTGGGAAGAGGCTGGCACCACCCCTGGGCTTGGGGCAGCTGCATGAGCCTGAGAGTGCCCAGGGCTGGATGGTCTACAGGTACTTTAAGTAGAGTGGCTCTCAGAGTCGCTCCAGTTCAAGCGCCACCGCCGCCCCCTCCGGGGATACTCCCCTCTGGGGGAAGGGCCCTGCTGCATGGGGCGGGGGCAGGAAGCAGCTGCCTCAGCCTCTGCCGGGCTCTGCCCTTGGGGCACAGACCCCTGGGCATCATGAGTTAAGTCATGCTAGGCCAGGCTGGGCGGCTGCACCCACCCCAGTTATCTCTGCTGTATTCGCACCTTTTACAGCGGCCAAACCAGCCTGCAGTCTGTGTTGCACCATGCTCCACTCCAGCTCAGGCCTCCTGCCAGTGAGGGGATGGGGGTGTATCCAGGGTTACTGCAGTTTGTGGGAGGGAACCCAGGTGTCCGGGGGGCCCCACCATAATTAATTATCAGATAACATTATCCGCTACAATGGCCAAAAAAAAGCCGATAATGTTAATTTTCCTTTTATTAGTGCTGATCTGATACCCAACCATTATAATGGTGCACCTCTAGATATTACTCTGGCAGACTGCCTGCCTGTTTAGTTCTTGGACCCCTGACCCCAGGGACCCCATACCTAATATCATAAGTGGGTAGGTCTGGGTTTTGCTGAAGGGATTGGTGTTAAAATGGAATGGGGTGCAGTGCGGGGGAAGGAACTGTCACTTTTTTCTTTTTGCCTCATGTATCCACAGCAAAAACAAAGGTGACATCCCCACCTGTAGCTATAAACCTCCAACCCCTGCCCCTGCACTGTGCGCTGTCAACACACAGGCACTGGTAGTACTGGCCAGTTATGCCTCTGTTCTGACCTGCTGACCTATAATTACACTTTGAAGACCCTAGGAGCTGTATGTGCTAGGTAATCTTATGTGCTAAAATACTTTTGGAAATTAATTTGAAAATGAAAATTTAATATACAAAACTTCTTTCTATAAAGTACAATGGAATCATGTTTAAGGACTCTAAAAAATTCAACACATGAAAATTTCACCTTGGAAACTGCTTATCACATTTACACTTGAATTTGCTCTCTAAGATGTTTATATGGCAAGTTTCAAGTTTTTCCAAACTGGTCATAGAAGAATTCGAAAATCAAAATGTACAATGAAAATACTGGCCGATCCTTAACTATTTTGGCATGAATGGGATGCTGTAATCACATTTAAGGCACATAAAATGTGCAACTTTTGTAATTCCCCGGACAGGAGAATGCACCGTGGTAACATAGTGTGCTGGTTGTATCCTGCCACTGGAGAGATTGGTCCTACCCAAGAGTATGTGAAGCTCTGATTTTCTTCCTGGCTAGTGGGTAGCTAGAGGGTTTAACCTCTTCATGTTATTAGACTCCTCCTTAACTTTATATGCCTCTGCTGCATAACACGAAGAGATTTTTATTCATGGGAAAATACTTATAAAAAACACCATTGTCAAAACATCTGTTAATTCTTAATGAGACAATGTTACTTTTAAATCTTGAGCCATCTTTTTATACATGGTTGGCTGCTTCCTATGTTTTCTTCTAAGTTAGATACATTTTTTAAGTCCAGTTTAATAAATGATTCATCTTTTTGAAATACAATAGAGATGGGTATTTGTATTCCAAGTAGTTTCTTGGCAAGAAGGGAGAAGATTAATTGGTTTGAATAGTGTAAAAATTTGGCCTTGACCTTAAAAAATGAGGGCCTTTCTTCCGGAAGTTAGATGTTTTATCAAGGAAAATCAAAGGAGGAAGGAAAAGACAGTCATTAATCATATACTGCTCCTGAGATATGAATTTTAAAGTGGTCAGTTGTGGACAAGATAATTTAATGCAAATGCTGACATATTTAGTTACATATACGGAAATTTCTTCAACCTGACTGCTCTTCTGTGTTGGTTGAGAACTCAGATGCCAAGCAACAAATCAGGTTGTCTTGTAGGAAGAGGGTCATCAGTGCAGCTTTTTTCTCTCACTGTTCAGTAATTTGTCAGGTTTTATTTCTCTGAGTTACTAACTTATAGTGACCACTAATTAATACTCCCTAATAAACATTAATAGTGAGGAACATAGTATCAATATTCATTGTAGGAAAGATTTTCTGAAGGTTCTCTTGTGATACTTCATCTAAGGAGTAATTCAGTCTGGCTGCATCTCCTTTTCTTTATAGCAAAGCATTGTTTGTTGTTTTTCCAGCTCCTCTTTTCAGGGGACTTTCTTTTTCCCCCTTTCTGGAGACATGGGCTGTTATTTACTGGGTTTTATTCATGGCTCATAGAGCTTGAGAAAAGCTAGGATATTTCTTAGGGATTTTCTACAGTTGCTTCACTTCCTGAGCAGCTTAAAAAAATATCATGTATATTTAACCAGTATGTGTAAACTGCAAATGCTGCTTTACTCAGGGCTTTCTGTGGGACTCTGAATATACCTTCTGTCACTTGTTTAACATGGGACTTGGAGGCCACTTGAGGCTTAAAGTGTGGCCCTGGAGAGTGGCTCTCTTGAAAATTTAGTTTGTTTTTACCAGGTTAGGAATTGAAAATATGTTCCCTAACCTGTGCTTGTCATTTTTAAACTGAAGTGATTTGAACCATAGCTGTACTATGGGGAGGAGTTGGAGGCCTCGCCTCCTACCTCTTCTTGTGCAGTATCTCAAACATCTCTGATGTGAGAAGGAAGCACTCTGAGCAGTTGGTGGTACTTTCCCTTCTGTGTTCCAGCTGCTCATCAACTGACCGACTGCTGCATCCCTGTAGATGGAGGTGAAAGTAGCACTAGATGCTTCGTCACCTGCCAGACTGTGAAAGCCTCAGGCAGAAAAGATAGATGTTTCACTGACTCTGCCAGAGTTTAGGTGAGTGTCTTGCAAGGGATAGGTCTCTTCCCTTAGGTAGCTATCTAGTTCAGGAGGTGGGGGGAAAGGGGAGAAACTCAGAGCCAGAAAGTAGTTACAGCTCTCTTATTTACCATCCCATTCCTGGTTAAAATGTCTCTAATTTTTATCAGTTGACTGTTGTACCCCAAACTGTGCAGCGGACTGGCATAGCTGAAAAATGCAGGACTCTTACCACCATTCCTCCCTGCCTGCATCAGGCATTGGAGAGAAGTGGGTACAAGAGTGGTCTGCAAAAGCTCCCTGCCTGCTGGTATCACACTCATGCCAAGTTAATCGGCAGCTGCATGCAGGCAGTTGACTTTCACTGTCTTCATAAATGAGGAGGATTTTTGAAAATATTTGAAAAAGGAGGAAGAATTTTGAAAATAAACCACCCATGACCTTCCAGAAGTATTGTATTTTGCCTTCAGACTGAAAAAGATGGAAAGAGCTGCCACACAGAGTATTGGCTCAGAAAGATTCAGACAATGCTGATTCTTACCTCTTTTCTTCAACTGTATACTTGCTCTAAAATCCATACTGCTGCTTTTTGCCCCAGTTCACATCCCTGCACATGGGGTTAGTACAGGGAAAAATGCTCTGGGTGGGGTGGAGAAGACCAGCACCTTGTTTGGCCCCAGGAGCCTTACTTGGAGTCCTGGGGGCCTCCCAGCACTCCAGCAGTGGCGATCTGGGCATGAGGAGCCTGGTTGGAAGCCAGAGCCTGGCTCTGGCTGCTGGCCAGGCTCCAGTTTCGGGTGGCGCACACTGCTGCCACATGTGCCACCCCATTTTTTCTGCATTTTTTTAATACCAGGATTTCCTGGTATCTAAGTTTGGCTCCGCACTGCAAATATGCAGCATGGCGAACCAAATCATGTGCAAGGTATGTTCCTCAGTGCTTCAACAGCCTTTGAGGCACCACAAAATGCATATGCATGCTCACGTGGACGCAGCCAGTGATGGCAAAAAGCTGTCATTCTGATCTGGTGAGACTTTCACTTTGGAGTAAGGAGTGAGTTACTTCCCATCATTACGAACCATTTTCTTATTTCAGAATACATTTTCAAAGTGGACTATCGAATGCTAAAGTTTCTCAGTTTTAAAGGTCAGATTTCTTTACATCATGTTCTAGGACTTCACCTACCCACTGAATCACCAAAAGTGTGTCATGAAAGTTAATGCCTGAGGGAATGGTTGTTAAGATGGCTTATGACTCTTAGCATCTTCCTGATTCTAGGGTCTGTGGGTGTGGGTGTGGGTGTACCACCTTGGACAACCCTAGGGAAGTTTCCAAGAAAGTGTCCCTGGCCCATTTGGGGCACAGATGCTGTCCAGAGTCCTGTCAGCATTTCATGCTGCTGCCCTATTTCCTTCTACCCTTCACATACCTCTTCCATTCTGACATACCCCTACACTGGATCTCCCAGGAGGACCCTCGTACAGTCCTGTAGTCTTGTGGGGGTGATCTTGCATTGCCAAGTCTGACGCTGTAACAAACCCTTATGGATAACACCTATTTCTCAGGTGTGAAATGTCTGGGAAAATTACCAAGAAATTCAAATGTTTTTGTTAAGGCTTATTATTAATTCAAGAACTCTACTGCTTAGCTAGAAGGCAATGTTTATAGGAATACCAGGAATATCAGATATTTAATTGGAATGCTTGTAAATGTTTAGCTTTGTGAGAGAGAATTTGTAGGAAGTATTAATTTTCTGTGAAACAGCTAATTGGTTTGGGTGTGTGGTTTTAGTTACTTCCTGGCTTAACTTTTGTGTGATTCTTTTTCCCCCTAACATTTAATAGTGCCCATCAAGATTATGGAATTTTAAGAGAACTGAATCAGTGTATTTAAGAAATACAAATATTTTTTGCCTGTTATGACAGTTGCAAAACACATACTTTTCTCTTTAAATCAGAAAAGGTAAGTGACATTAGCAAGAGTATTCAGATAGATTTCAGTTAAAAAGTATTAACTCAAAGCCTGTTAATTCTATTGACTCTTGATATATCATTAAATTCATTTCTCACATAATGTTCTCATAATTGATTTGCAGTTGTTTGCAAACTTGCATATAGCTAATTAAGCATTTCATTGGTGACTAGGTTTACTAGCAATTTTCAAAATGATTTAAAATATTTAAAGTATTTAATTTTACTCTCACATCTAGTTATGACTGCTTTGTATGGAGGTTCCTAGTATGTATGTGTCTGTGTTTATTTAATATATAAATCATTTATTTAGTATTTTAGAGTGTATATCCAGAAGATTGGGTTTATGGACTCAAAAGTTAGGAATAGCAGGGGAAATATGTAATGTAGGCCATTATTATGCTAGTGTAGGGTTATTCCATGTATATTTTAATAGTACTTTGTGCAGTCTAGTTTTAATTGATAAAATTAACATGGTAGATTTAAATAGTTGAGTATGTAACAATAATGTGTACAGGCAATAAAAAATTAAAGTTTCATGTAGTAATTTTGTAGTACTTGTCTGCATTCATGTGAGGGTTGCAATCATGTTCAGAAGATAAATTTGCTTTTATTATAGATAACAGATTATGGGTCAAAGGTCCTTCTGAATCTTCTGCCCAAGACATGTAGTTTTCTCTAGTCAGTAACACACAAGGGAAGGATCTGGCCAGGATTATGTCTGGCTGCTGTTCACTCTCCTCTCTAAAAACCAGATAGCCAGCCATTTAGAGCTGAGTTGACGCTGCGTGGTCTTTGACATCAACTGGGTGCAGGGCTCCAACTTGTGCCTCTGGACCAGCACATCTACTCTGCCACTGTGTCATAATAAATTGTAGGTTATTTCCTTTCTTCCCAAACCATAACATTGTAAATATTATCTTCCTCTCACTAGTAAGGAAAAAAATTATTGGCACATCTAACATGTTTATTAGTTTGAGCTTGGGCTCATTGTTTATATAGGTTCACACTATAGTGCTTGGAGCTGACATAGTATTATCATGGCTTATAAAAGTTCTGTATAACTTGCAACTCTGTGTCAAAAAGAGAACCCATATATTGACTAGCTCCACAGATATTCCTGAGTTGTGTTCTGTACGCCTTTAATGTAATAAATTAAGGGTTTTTTGCCATTATATTATTTTTTACCTTATTTCTTAAGCGCCTGTCAACCTGGGATCTTAGAGACAAATACAATTATATAAAAAAATCACAGTTCCCGGGAAGTGTTCTATTTTCACCTCCTCCTGGGTTCAAGTTTTTTGTGTGTTTAAGTTCATGAAGTTGTTAAGAGAAGGAAGCATCACCTAAAAGTTGGGACGAATACTTTGATCTGAACAGCATTATACTTGGTTGCACAGCTGGCATACTGCCTTTGGGAACATGTCCCCTTCGTGCTGAAGAGTAGAATCTGAAACTTAACATTTCAAACTTTTGCAAAAGTCCGGACTGGTATTTCAAGACAATCACTGAAAAATGTTCCTCAGTGGATCCTAAATGGAACACTCACTGGACATGTCTATATATGCACTTCAATGTGCAGTAGCTTATTTTACTGTGCATCAAAGCCATGTGTAAAAAAACATGCTATTGTGCTAATGGGCAGTAAAATAGGCTACTGCACTTAAGCATCACTTAAAAAGCGTGCACTTGCACTACTGCACCTTAGTGCAGCCTAATGTGCATTAATTTAGTACCTTACACTGGAGGTACTACTTTACACATTAATGTATGTGTAGACAAGTCAACTGTGTTATCGTTCCTCTGTGCAAACTTATTCCTATGGATCTTGTGATCTACCTTTTTTAGTGGTGGCTTTTTTTATTTGTTTTAGCAGCTGATAAGACCACTGATAGATTTCAGCTATAGTGTATGTAATATGTTAACGAGTCATCATTCTTGATTTACCCAGGTAACAATTTAGAACTGAGGTTAGTATTCGCACTGTGAATGTAAATTTGTATCTGTTCATCTTCTCCATTCTTTTTAAGAAGGAAAAATTTGCCAAGGTTTGTGGAGCTCTGTGTATGACATTTAATGCAAATGATTCAATAGCTAATTAGCATATAACCATAAACTTCAGTTTAACAACAATAGTGTGGAATTAGTACTGGTGATACTTGTTGACTTAACAGCCCAGGTGACTATAGTCCTCTATTTATCTACAAGGCAGAAGCTGGGCAAGCTTCCCTCACATCCTGTCTTGCCATCAGTCTCAACCATGACTTTCTTTGGGGTAGCATTAGCACACTTTGCAGAAAATTCTTGGCCTCTCTGGCTGTGTCCACATGAGCGTAGACATTGCTTCTTTCAAGGACAAGAAGCAGCGGCACACCTTGTGCCACTGCTATTTGTCTGCAGGGAATGCCTGTGCCACACACTATCTGGTGTGCGGCAGGTTACCCTGAGTGGGGTAGGGGAGGCTAGGGCCAGCACTGGCTGGCCTTAGCAACCTTACCTAGGGTCCTGGGGGCCTTGGGGAAATCTTGTCTTTAATTCACATTGTTAACCCAAAGGAAAAACTAAAGCCTGATTTATCTGCACTAGGATTACATCCACCTGA